TTGACCCAATAAAACCCAAAGAAATCGCCGGTTTTTCCTCTGAACCGCTAGCCCAAATTTTAAAGAAATCGTCTGGTCCAAATACTTTGTATAAAAACCCTCTCTCATTCTCCTTCACAGTCGAACTCAAACTCGAAATATTTGCCCTACCCCCATAGCAGAGCAGCCCGTCTCTTGCAAGTTGAAATTTCACTCCCAAGAATCCAAACTTCAAATTTCAAGTTATAATAGATGGAAGAAGAAGATGTTAGTTTAAACTTTAAATTTTAGTGGAATCTACAAAAAGAAAATCTAATCCACATTGTGCTGCTGGGTATTTCTATTTTCTGTGCTGGGTATTTCCATTTTCTCTGTAAATTTCAATTTTCTGTCCTCAAATTTTTGCTGCAAATCTGATTCATATGTGTGTTGCTGGGTATTTCCATTTTCTTTGTAAATTTCAATTTTCTGTCCTCCAATTTTTATTGCAAATCGGATCCATATGTGCGTTACTGGGTATTTCCATTTCGTAATTTGATGTGTGCATATGTTTGATTGAATTTCACAGTTTTAGTTCTTTGGTTTATGGATTTTTTTTTTTTTTTGGTAGATTCCATGAATTGTATGTTGATCAATTGTTGTAATTTAGTTAGCTAATTAGCTTTGTAAGCATGCTGTAAATCTCAATTGTTGTAATGATTCTTTTTGTAGCTTTGTGAGCATGCTGTAAGATTTTTATATTTTTATATGATTGATTGTTGTGTTTATTGTTTCAAATTCAGATTTCACTATCTATTATCTAGAATTTGTGAAATTGGGATACAAATTGATATTTACTTAACAAAACAATACGAGGTTAATTTAGTTTTTAATAGAAAATGGAAAATTTTTCTCATTCAATGGAAATAGTTAACATTATGGGTAATTGGCGCAAAACATCCTTACCTTTCGAGGTTATTGTGGAAAACGTCCCTACCTTTCATTTTTTGGCATTTTTGCCCTTATTTACCACCTTTCTTGCGCTGAAGGTCCTTTTCACTGTTTTTTGACGATTTTGCCCCCTCTACCAACAAAAAAATTAAAGAAACGGGCACCACCAACAAAAAAAAGGACCAAAAATAATAATAATAAAAATAAAATAAGGAATGTGAAAATGGAGGAAGGTGAAAAGTAAACCAAAAATTATTTTTTATTTTTTCAATCGTACATTTTTAATCAAAATTTATTGAAAATTTTATTTTTAGCAAAACTAATCTGTATTTTTTTTCTTTATTTTTAAAAATAAAAATTTCAATAAATTTTGATTAAAAATGTATGATTGAAAAAATAAAAAATAATTTTTGGTTTACTTTTCACCTTCCTTATTTTTTTTGTCCTTTTTTTTGTTGGTGGGGCCCGTTTCTTCAAATTTTTTTGTTGGTTTTTTTGGTTTTTTTTTCCTTTTTGTATTTAAAAAAGTTCAATGACCTTTTTGGACTTTTGGCAAAGTTTAGTAACCATTTGGGCTATTAACTCCTATATTTATTACTAATTTGTAATTTTTTGAAATTTTGGGGTATTAGTTACAATTAATTCTTTTGTTTTCTATTCTATTCTTTTTTTTTGTTATTTGAATAGAGGGCAAAATCGTCCAAAAACAGTGAAAAGAACCTTCAGCGCAAGAAAGGTGATAAATAAGGGCAAAAATGCCAAAAAATGAAAGGTAGGGACGTTTTCCACAATAACCTCGAAAGGTAAGGATGTTTTGCGCCAATTACCCTTAATATTATTTTTGATAAGAAAAGACTCGCCGGTTGAACCATCAAGTCGTCGGTTGAACCACTGACCCGTTGACCCACTGCGCTGTCCGGGTCGACGTTCGGGTTAGGTTTGACAACTATGGTTTTACCCCTTTTAAAATTAGTGCAAGGGGTAAAAAGTAGTTGGTTAGTCATGGTAAAATGTTATATAAAATTGGTAGTTATGGTGAAACATTATATGAAATTAGGGATGTTAAACGGGGCGAGCGGCTCGTCTTCTCGGCTCGGGGCAACTCGGGCTCGTCATCCCACGAGCCCACGAGCCAAAGTTCACTCGGCTCGTGGGCTCGTAAAAAATGTGCAAATTTAAAAAAAAAATTTAAAAATTAAAACAATCATTAGCTCGCGAGCGACTCGTGGGCTTGGCTTGGCCCGCAAGCTCGTTCCTCGTGAACTCGGCTCGTTTTTCATGAGCCACAACCTTGGCTCACCAGCTTGTGGATTAAAGGGTCGACCCGTCTCGATTCGATCCATTGCCATCCCTATATAAAATTGAGTGGTCATGATGAAATTAAATTAAATTAAATTGAGTGACCATGTTGACATTAAATATAAACTTGGGTAGTCATATTAAAATAAATTTAAATTGGGTGGTCATAGTGACAATAAATATAAAATTGGATGGTCATTGGACCCTATTTCTACCTTAATACTGACAGCACAAGGTCATGTGATGTTCCCAAATTGGTTGTCCATAACAACACTTTTGAGGAGACGAAAAAAAATCTTTACTTTTTATCATTTTGGACTAGAAAAATAATTCTGAAGGTAAAATTCATAAATCGCCACTTAACTTTATACTTAGGGTGCGTTTGATTGCACGCATGAAATTTGCATGGAAAGAAAATAAATTTTAAGTAATTCAATTGTCTGAAATTTATTTGTATGAAAATTATTAATTAAATATTTTTGATTGATTTAATTTTCAATTTAAAAAATAGGGTAATTGGCGTAAAACATCCTTATCTTTCGAGGTTATTGTGGAAAACGTCCCTACCTTTCATTTTTTGGCATTTTTGCCCTTATTTACCACCTTTCTTGCGCTGAAGGTCCTTTTCCCTGTTTTTTGACGATTTTCCCCTCTATTCAAAAAAAAAAAAAAGAATAGAATAGAAAACAAAAGAATTAATTGCAACTAATACCCCAAAATTTCAAAAAATTACAAATTAGTAATAAATATAGGAGTTAATAGCCCAAATGGTTACTAAACTTTGCCAAAGGTCCAAAAAGGTCATTGAACTTTTTTAAATACAAAAAGGAAAAAAAAACCAAAAAAACCAACAAAAAAATTTGAAGAAACGGGCCCCACCAACAAAAAAAGGACAAAAAAAATAAGGAAGGTGAAAATGGAGGAAGGTGAAAAGTAAACCAAAAATTATTTTTTATTTTTTCAATCGTACATTTTTAATTAAAAATTTATTGAAAATTTTATTTTTAAAAATAAAGAAAAAAAATACAGATTAGTTTTGCTAAAAATAAAATTTTCAATAAATTTTGATTAAAAATGTACGATTGAAAAAATAAAAAATAATTTTTGGTTTACTTTTCACCTTCCTCTATTTTCACATTCCTTATTTTATTTTTATTATTATTATTTTTGGTCCTTTTTTTGTTGGTGGGGCCTGTTTCTTCAATTTTTTTTGTTGGTTTTTTTGGTTTTTTTTCTTTTTGTATTTAAAAAAGTTCAATGACCTTTTTGGACCTTTGGCAAAGTTTAGTAACCATTTGGGCTATTAACTCCTATATTTATTACTAATTTGTAATTTTTTGAAATTTTGGGGTATTAGTTGCAATTAATTCTTTTGTTTTCTATTCTATTCTTTTTCTTTTATTTGAATAGAGGGCAAAATCGTCAAAAAACAGTGAAAAGGACCTTCAGTGCAAGAAAGGTGGTAAATAAGGGCAAAAATGCCAAAAAATGAAAGGTAGGGACGTTTTCCACAATAACCTCGAAAGGTAAGGATGTTTTGCGCCAATTACCCTAAAAAATATTATACTTGTCCATTTTTTATTGGTAGGTTAACGAGAGAGAATGAATAAATAAGAGAGAGAAGAGAGAGTGAATTCATTGGAAAATAAAATCTTACTCTTTTAAAAAAAAATATTTTCCTTGATTTTGAGGAAAACATGGTCACGTGACTAAAAGTGGGAAAAAATTTCATGAAAAAAAATGGCAATCAAACAACACAAAAGTAGGAATTTGAGTGGAAAAAACACATTTTTTATGGCAAATATAGGCAATCAAATGCACTTAGAGATGTCAAACGTACCGAATGGCTCGTTAAAACTCGGCTCGGGCTCGTCATTTGATGAGCCTGAGCCGAGCAGGGGGCTCGATCCCACGAGCGGCTTGTGGGCTCGTCCAAAAATATGAATTTAAAAAAAAAAGGTGCAAAAATTGAGCAAAAAATAAAAATAAATAAATAAACTCAAGCTCGCGAGCGGCTGGTGGACTCGACTCGGCTCGTCCTACGAGCTTGTGGCTCGTGAGCTCACGAGCTCGTGGGCCGAGCCGAACTCGTCCCCGAGCAACGAGCCAAGCTCGAGCTCTACTGGTTTTTCACGAGCCACGAGCCCTAGCCGAGCTCATGGGTTAAGGGTCGAGCCGAGCCCATCACTTTACGCACTCTTAGTATCACCATGGTCACTCAACTTGATTTTATTTCACCATGATCATCCAACTTTATGCTTAGCTTCATCGTAGTCGTCCAATTTGATTTTGTTTCACCATAGCTACTTAATTTCATATAACGTTTCACTATGCACCCAATTTATATATATAATAAATTAAAAAAAACAAAATAAAAGTTTTTTATTTAAAAACCTTTTTTTAAAATAAGTTTTTATTTTATTTTTCTAAGTAATTTTTTTTTAAAAAAATAAGTTTTTATTTAGAAAATATATATTTTTTAAATAAGTTTTTATTTTTTTTTAGAAATTTTTTTCGAATAAGGTTTTATTTTATTTTTTTATGTTACTTTTTTTTAAATAAGCTTTTATTTAAAATATAAAGTTACCATTTTACCCTTTTAAAAAATTAATAAAAACGATGAAAAGAAATTGAGTAGTCATAGTCAAACGTTATATGAATTGGATGGCCACTATGAAAAGTTATATAAAATTGTGTGACTATGATGAAATAAAATTAAATTGGGTAACCACGGTGATGCTAAGTATCAAGTTGGGTGTTCATTATAAAGTAAAATTAAGTTGAGTGAGCATGGCCTAACCTAATTTTGAAGATGAAGAATTGATATTGAGAAGACTCAGGTCATTCTTTCCCTTTCCACTTCAAAGTCACAGTTCCAGTAATCAATCAAACATGGGGATGCCATTAAAATCTTTAATTCAGATGACCACTGCATCGGCATCAGCACCTACCCAAGAACATCGCACCGCCTTCCAGTGGGGTGGAACCGTCGCTGCCATGTAATCATTTTTATAGTATTTCTGAAAATTATTGCTGGGTAGCTGTTTCAATGTATATGGGTTGTTTACTTTAGTTTCTATTTGAAATTTCATTTAAATTTTGTTAGTCCATTTTGCTTCGTAAATTAATTGGGTTTAATACTTCCAACATATATTAATAAGAAAATAATTTCATGAATATTGGGAATCATCTTTGAGTTAGAATGTTTTGCAGATTTGCAAGCTTAATTACACTATGCTTGTTCTTAATTTGTAAATGTTAAAAATGCTCTTCTTTTTTCTTTGAAATGAGTAATTATGCTGGGTATTCTTTCTAATCATGGAGTACTACTTGTATGAAATTGTTCATTTCGAAAATTCCCAAAATGCTTGCTGCAGTTATGAAGAACTAAAAATCTGTACATGGTAGAGTATCCCACATATTTCGATTTTCTTACACTTGCAGGAGATCATATATCATGACATTTGTTGGGAAAAATGGGTGATCTGTGTGTAGGTAAACTTTAATTAGATCATCCTTTGTAGGACATATATGTACACATGTAATCGTGGTCTTTGGGTTGTTCTGGGATGTTCAATGAATTGCCCAATCAACGATTCTAAAGAACTAAAAAAAGGAAATACACATGTAATCGTGGTCTTCGGGTTGTTCTGAGATGTCCAATGGATTGCCCAATCAACGTTTCTAAAGAACTAAATGCTAAATGAACATATATATTCCATATATACTTATATATATGAATGGCTAGAATAGACGACTAAAGGCCACTCAAATCTTGACTAGTTTTGTGGTCTCACTCGCAATTATTCCATATTCACGTGTCTGATGCAGTTCTGTATTAGAGATACGAGGACAAGGGGGAATACCCTGCAGTTAAGTTACAAGAAAAATTAAGAGTTCTTTTGTTAATGTTGTCTCATTTGATGATTTTTTTCCAAATACTTCTATTTGCGTTTTGTTCTTGTAGAGCTAAGTGTCTCTTTCACGATATAGGCATGTCAACTGTGCAAGTATAAGACTGGAATTTTCTTAGATGTTTCTAAATATCGGTGTTTTTCTCATTCTTATTACTGCAGAATTCTGTTAATTGTTAACCGAACAGGGAGAAGGTCGTCAAAGCACACTTCACTTCTTGTCATATATCTCTTCATATGTTTCCCAACAGCGCTCTTCAGGATTCTCCGGTACATTCTAATTCTGTATTCTCCAAATATTTCTTTCTAATTAAATTCATTTTAGCCAAAGTTCTAAAACAGCCTCATATTCTACAGTGGGCAATTCGGACGTTGGGTAGCCTTTCTTGCAGTTGCAGCTCACCTCTTCTTCCCTCGAGATTTTCATGGTACTGTTACTTCCATAAGAACCTAGCTTATCACCTTCAATAATGTTTAATTCAGTTATCGAAAAATAAATAGTGTGAGCTGATAAGCACTGTTGAAGATTGAAGTTGAATATATAAACGTCCCCTCTTAAGCTTCTAAATGAGATGGTTCAATATAACAAAGAGGGAAAAATACCTTGGTTCCAGTCTCACCACCACCTATTTATGAAAATTGTGCACGTATCAATTTGTTTATGAAAAAAAAAACAAAGGAATCCAGCCTACGCGTGGGTGCCAGTTTGAAGATTAAGTTAATGTTACTTGTAGTAAAAATTTAAGATTTCAAATGGTTCAATATTTAATATTTATCAAGATTCATCTATTGCCTGTACTTGCAGCATCTCGGTTTCCCTTATTCGTCATCATTCCGGATTGGCTGGCCATTGAACTGCGTGATAATACCGTTGTTGGAGGTATTCTTTGTCTGATAATTGGAGTAACACTTGTTATAATGGAGATTGGACAGATTGGACTTACTGACTGGAGATGTAATGTAGGGTGCTGGTTTTCTTTTATTATTTTATCATTGATTTTCTATTTCCCAATATTATATCTGTCTTCGGGATCAAAAGCAATCCCTAAAACCTAAAAACAAATGGATTTCTTCCGTGTGGTACTTTCGTGTTTTCGTCTATGCTATGCACATTTGGTTTGAAATGTGTTCTTTAGCCTTGTCATTCTCCTTTGTTTTGAGCCTGTGAAACGACATTTCCTTGTACCATTTCCCTTCATTTTAGACGGGTTTCTATTTCCTAATTACGTCGTACCTAATTACGTCGTATAATTTGAATTTGTTAGTTGTGTTCTAAGAGGTAGCATGGAATAAAATGTTGGATATTTGATTAGCTAGTTACAATTCACATGTCACAAGGCACGAACCAGTTTGTTGATTTCTATTCTCATTATATTCTTAGCGTGTCAACTAGGGAATAACCATCTAAAGGGATCACAAGCCTAACCATCTTATGGGATCTGGTTTGTGTTAAGGTTGATTTGCCGATGTTGTGTATGCATATTGATTGAGGGCTGTTTGGCATAGCTTTTGAAAAATCGAAAGGAGCTTTTGAAACCCAAAAGCAGTTTTTGGACCGTTTAACTATTTTTATGATAGTGCTTCTTTTAGTTATAAAAGTTAGTTTACAAACAAAAATCAAAGTAGTTGCCTCTAAAAACTCTTCTATAGAAAGCAAAAGCAAAAGTAAAACTTATGTCAAACATGCCTTAAGTAGAAGTGTTCAATGCTTGTTGTAGTTAGACCTGAACTCTCACAAGGTGATGGAAATGGGAGTACAACTGTACAAGTATTGGTGGTCTGATTCTAGGGTAACATGTATGTTTCGATAACTAAAATTTATGATGAAAACTATCAAGTTGACTACTAAAGTTTAATTTAGGGTTATTGGCACAAAACACTCCTATCTTTCATGTTTATTGTGAAAAGTTCATACATTTTATTTTTAGACATTTTTGTCCTTATTTTCACCTTTCTTGGCGCTAAACGTCATTTTCACCAATTTTGGACAATTTTACCCTCCATTCAAATAAAACAAAAAGAAAAGAAAGGAAACAACAAATAACTAATTGCAACCACAGCCCCCTATTTTTAATAAATTACAAATTAGTCACAAATATATATAAAATTTTCAACATAGATGCCAACAACCATAGAACCCAATTTTTAGCACCAAGGCCACCGGATTTTAACACCACCGCCATCTCCTCATCAACCTTAACATACCAATGTAAATTTCAGCACCAAATTCCAACAAAATCGAGTTAAATTTTGCCCAAAAACCACTTCTCATGCACATTATTATTGCAAATTGACCAAATCCATAGACGCCCATGTTCCGTACAACCCACGGGTTGCTCAAGCTCACCAAGACGCATCTATACATGTTCCAATTACAACAAACAACCCAGAAAATCGAGATCTATAGCTAATTTTCTAGTCAGCGAACTCGCGGCCGATCCCCTTTTAATTGGCATCCCTCAACGACTCTAATCTACGAATTGCATCAATCAACATGCAATTGGAGGTCAAACGACGCTGGATATAGATTTAATTGTTTCAATTCATCAGCCAAATGCAACAATTTTGGATTTGACCTCACAGAATGTGTGGCCGCGCGAAGAGGATAATTCTTCATCAATTCGTGAGTCTAATGTGTCCCAACATATGAATCTACTTGGGGAAACTCAAATTCAAACCCTTAAAACACTGGGCAATCGTTCAATTTCATAAATTACATCACTCGTTTGCCAAATTTTGGAGTCAAATGGTGTCTTCACACACTTGAAGAAGAAGGAACAGAAACTAGATGACATTTGTAATTTTTTAAAAATTGGGGATGTGGTTACCATTAGTTATTTGTTGTTTCCTCTCTTTTCTTTTTGTTTTATTTGAATGGAGGGTAAAATTGTCCAAAACTGGTGAAAAAGACGTTCAGCCCCAATAAATGTGGAAATAGGCGCTAAAGTGCCAAAAAATGAAAGGTATGAACGTTTTCCACAATAGACATGAAATGTAGGGACGTTTTGTACCAATTACCTTTTAATTTATTGCAAATTAGTTACTAAGATTATATTTTATTTCTAAATTAGTCATTATTAATCATTTACAAGGTTAATTCTACGTCTATAACAGTCAATTCCATCAGGGAAGGAAATTGAGATTAATCAGTCGAGGGCTTGCAAATTTTTTTAGAAAGATTTTGACAGTGCGAGGGGAACGAAAAAGGGAAAAATTAAAAATGGGGAACAATGAGTCTTTCATTAATTTTTGTGTTTAACAATTAAAGAATTAATTTAGTTAACTATTTTAAGTTTACTATTTCATAATATTTCATTTCAAAATATGTGTTGCATATCTGTTTGTAAGTTCTTCAAAATATATCAAGAACCTACACCAACAATTGAGAAACATAACCCGAAATAAGCCAAAAGAGGCGATGACCCAAACTAGATTTATTTGACCTATTCGTGCAGCCATTTTTAATTACCTATTGAGAACTTGTCGTTTATCGATTTTGCAAATTGAAAGAAGTCGAGCGAAGTAAGGAGTGAGTCCTTTAAAATGGTATCAAGAATCTTTCCTAACATTCAAGAATTATAATAAAAATTGATCTTCATGAAATGGCCAAGCTCAAAATTTTTCTCTAATCGTTTTTTGGGTTGGATGGCTAGAGCTCGCCTTGACCACATATGGATCCGTCCTTGATTATTTGATGGGAACAAACAAGGGTGTTAATGCAGTGCCATGTGGGGATCTTGACGACTTAATTGGTTACTAAAAGTTACACAGTATCGCAGTTGAAGTAACAATAAAAATATGCATATGCGATTCTTTAACATGAAATTTATTTTAAAGGGGGATAATTTAATATTACGAAACTTTACATAATATGATATACAATTTAATTATAAAGTTTGAGGTTTAAGGTTAAACAATGATCTTCTATTTTACTTTTCTAAAGACTAAGGTGAAAAATAGTGAAAATTATGTTTTTCCAAGGAGAAAATGTTAAATATAATGCAGATAGTGAAAAATATGATTGTTAATTACTAGAAACCAATTTCATTTGGGGGTAACAAATGGCCAGCTCATCTTACGGATGGTTCAGGCTCCCCCCCTTTCCACGAGCCCGGTCAACTAGGCTTGTTTTTGGGGCTCATTTGATTAATTTTTTTTAAAAAGACCAAGCCAAGCCATGTGCTCTTGGACAACTCGGCTCATTCCATGAGCCCACGAACTCAAGGGTCAAATTGAGCCTAGTTTGTGGACACAACCTGAGCTCGTGTATTGAAGGACCAGCTTGACTCGACCCATTGCGACCCAACCCCTAGTTTCATTATAGACTTATAAGAATTTTAAGGTGCTTTTGCAATTTTTAAGAATTTCATGGACTAAATTGTAATTTTAAACAATTTTATGTATGAGAAGATTGTCCGAGCTCATCAAGAGTATTTTCAATGCGTGGATTGTTAAAGTAATTTCCCACATAAGCAAAATATATGATATTCAAAAAAACTTATGCAAGTTGACAAGAACTTTGTCAAGTTGACGTGAAAAGAAAAAATACATTATTTGGAGCTCCATTTAATTTAGAAGCTTTATTAGAGCCATTCACTCAACAAAATTTATATTTTCTATTGAATGCATTAGAAAATTGTACTCGAATGACTATTCATTAAATAACAATGTCATGTAGGCCAAAATTTTCTCAACCTGGTGCATTGGTGATGCTATAACGAAGGGTTGGAACCAAAGTTATATGCAAACATTAGATTTTCTTTACTGCAATGTTTATTTCCACTCGAAAGTTGGGTGACCTTCAAATGTGTATATGTTTAGGCGAAAAGATGTCCTAAATTTTCTACCCAGAACTTTTCCATTGAAGCGAATGATTTCCTCTAAATAGACAGGTAAAATGTGTTTCAAACAAATTGTGAGATATATATAATTGCTCTCTTAAAATAATATTTCATAATGCTTAAAGGCAGAAGATGACAGAAAGATTAATGATACAATATTGTACTATTACTCAAATGCTTGCATAATCCTGACCACCGGTTGTCGTAAAACTCCTCGAGTATATGTCATGAACTCTTATAAGATCTGCATTGCTCACAGTATACATATGTCCAGGCAAAGCTAATGGAAACTCGCAATTCTTCTGCTCACTTTTCTCTTCGACTGCAGCTGCCTCTCTTAACTTGCCTTCCTTCCACAAACTCTTCACGAGCATGTCTTTAGTGGCGGAATCAGGCATTAATCCTGAGTTCATCATATCCTCAAAGATCCTCAATGCAAGAGCAGCTCTTTCGCACTTGCAATAAGCCCGAATGAGAACCTTGTACATATAAGCATCGGGCTCCAAGTCACTCTGTTTTACCATCCCGAAGAGCCTTTGAACAGTTTTAATGTCTCCTTGAAGTGCATAATGATGCATCAACCCCGTAAATATCTGTATATCTGGAGAAATCCCGAGTAAAATCATCTCATCGAGTATATCTAATGCTTCAATATTCATATTACACTTTGCCAATGTCCTCAACAGAGACGAATATAGAAGCAGCATACTTTTTTGTGACATGGGACTGCAAAAGGTCTTGACATTGCGGAAAATTTTTAATGCAGCATCACCCTTCCCTGTAATGCCGTAAAATTCAATAACTAGTCTGATTGTGCTGAACGACAATTTCATACCCTCTCGCTGTATCTTAAACAAGAGTTGATCAACCAAATGGACGCATCCATGGCGAGCCAACTTGGTAATCATCCTCGATATAGTGTAGATATTGTGAGTAAATCCTGGCTGATAAGTCACCCAGCAAAAGAATTGCCATGCTGTTTCAGCTGATTTGAAACTCCTGATAACTTTGCAAACCAACCGAGTTGTCCACACAAAGTTTGCATTTTCCAGTGCAGATACCTCCTCGGATCCCCAATGCTGCAAGGCACTAGCCAAAGCAGCAGGGTCCAACCATGGTTTCAATTGAACTTCATCCTTGTCATTTCCATGAACACTGTCAGTATCTTCCTCCCCATCATCAATATCATCCTCGCTACAGTCTGTGGTACTGTAATAAGTTACAGTTTTTATCCTCGCATCTGGAATAATTTCCATAACTAATTCCTCCATTTCCTCAAGTTTGCCCAACTCTCGTATTCGTTGCAAAGACGGTTGCATTGCTTGACCAGGCAATATCCCGTCACTCCGCATCTCATGAAGCAAAGTCTTGACCGAATCTAACCGATCAGTGGCAGTAAAAATATCCACTAAGGAAGTATACTGCCTTAATGTACGTTTAATTCTCATCAGTGGCAGTATCTGAAAAACCTCCATTGCTGAACCTAATTTCCTAGACTTAACAAGGTGCTCAATCATAACCGTGTACGTTCTAGAATTAGGAAGTGCCCCTTCCTCAATCATCCTATGGAAAACCTTCACAGCCTCGGAATCCATACCCTTCTGAACATAAAGTCCCATTATGATATTATACGACTCCGTACATGGATGCTTATCCAAGGTTTTTCTCCACTCATCCCAAATACTGAAAACCTCGTCAAGATCACCAACAGCAGCATACCACCGCATGCGATCCATGAAACTAACACGTGCAACATTTATGAACTTGCCCGAATTGATGGCATTAATCAGGGCATCAAGTTTACCAACTTGGCCAGAGTTTGCCAGAATCTTGGCCAGTGCATAAAGGGTATATTGAGTATGTGAAAAATGTGGGATTTTCTTCAAAGTTTCGACCAAAAACAAAGCAGAGTCAGGAGAAGGAGCTGCCCTTAGGGCATTGGTGACCACAAAGGAGTCTAATGCTGGACTGCTTAACACGGTAACAAGGGAATTATCAGGAGAATTCGAGCGTAGGCTAAGTCTTATTGAATCAATGAGCTTTGCTCTTTGGAGATACAATGTGACCTTGTTTACATTGGGAGTGGTTCGTGCAAAATGGCGAGTTTGCAGGACAAAATTTTTAAGAATGTTACTTAAAGAGTAGAATCTGTTGCTATACATAACCCGATTTTTAACGGAAGAAATTCTTAGTGCTTCTTTAATTTCTTAATGTACCGAGTGATAACAAAGAAGGGAAAAAGTATTCAGAGGCAAAACATCAAACAGCTTGAGTGCGTGGACATTATTCGTGCATGTGCTTAGAAGAATTGAAACTTCGGTACTACTTTGAGATGAAGGAGTATGGTAAATACAATTACTGGTTCCTATTATTAGTATACAGAATGTGCCCAAAGTCCCGAAGAGGGGGAAGAGGTGTTAATAGGTAATTTTAGGTATTAAAATTAGGATTTACAGCAAGTCTAGCGAAACCGAAGTAACAGGAAATGTTTAAAAATTTGGCCGGAAGACAATAGAAAAAAATCTGTGCATAACAATGGAAAAATTACCCAATACCCTGTCATATTAAAAAATAAGGATAATTAGTTTTAAATCCATAAATTAGATGATAATTAAGAATTATTAAATTAATTAATATAAGATTAATTAATACCTCTCCTGCTCTGCACCATGTCGCCCTCATCACCCCTTGGTTATACGTATATTCATATATACAAATAAACCACCCTTGCTCTCTCTCTCTCTCTCTCTCTCTATGTAAGAATAATTAATACTTCTCCTGCTCCCACCATATTTCTCTCTAACCATTTATCTCTCTTGTTGGCTGCATTAACCACATTTGTTTTTTTGGTTCCTTTCAATTGTACAGATTTGAATCGATGGGGTTGGCTGGGCCTACAGTTGTCGACTATTTTCACTTAAATTTGAATTGTAGATGGATTGTGGGATGGATTTAAGGTGAAAGTGGAAGTGATGGTGGTGATGATTGTTATTGTGGATTTGACGTGCATGTAGTATTTATGGTTGTGAATTTGAGTTGGTGGTGGTGCATTGGAGGTCATGGTGATGACGGTTGGTGGTGGTGAATTGTGATCTGGTCTGCAATGTGTGTGGATTTGTTTGTGGTAACCCTCTATGATTAAGTCTGGGTTAATTGTGATCGATTATGACCAAGTTTGTGTTAAATGTGATCGGTTGTGATTATATATGACCAAATTAATGGTGAATTGATCACATACCGTCACAATTAAGACAAATTTGGTTATAGATAGTCACAATAAAGACAAATTTGATCATAGTTGATCGCGGATGATATAAGTCTAGTCTCAAACAATAACAACTTAAACAAACATGGTCACGAATAATAACAACTCGCACAAACCTTGTTACCAATAATCACTATTAAACACAATTTGGTCACAGTGGTGAAAATACAAATAAAGTGGTGGTATCAAGTAAAATTAGTACTTCTGGGCTCAATGGTCGAGAAATGAAATGGAGTTTTTGCGGGCTTCTAATATGAGAAATGAAATTAAGGTACCAGTGAAAAAGTTATTAATGAGTTGAATGTAGGGGTTGTGCCTTTGGAAATATTAAATGATTGTGCTACATGTACATTATGATATTCATAATGGACAAATGACATAACATCATTGAAGAGTTGAAAAATAGTTTTTTTTAACACTCTAATTATGAAATTCTACATGTACATATACATGTAGAATTATCCAATATTAAAATGGGAGAAATTTGAGGAAAAGTGAGTTGAATAATCAATCTTAAAACAATGCTACTACTCAGATAGACTCATGAACAGGTTAGAAAACAAACTGACGTGGAAAATGGTTTTTGACTGAAAAAAATTGAAAAATAAACAAAAGATGATAAATAATTCTCACCAAAAAACAATTCTCTATCTCTTTCTTCGCAAACCAGAACAGAACCCTAATCCCCAAATTTATCTCTCTCACCATGAACCAAAACAGAACTCCAATCCCCAAATCTATCTTCCCAAATTCGAAACCCTAAGCAAAAGTTTTTATCTCCAGCCACAATTTCAAGTAGTGTAATGTAAGGGTTTTCGATCACTGTCAAACCCCTCACCGTCGTCGGTCGTAGTTACCGTCGAAGGGTCCATCACGTTGCATCTTTGTGAATGATTTCGCCGCCGCACGTCATACCATTTTTCGCCGTCAGCAAACCATCAGACCTCACAAACAAGTAGAATGATTTGTATTTCATCATTTTTCATTTTTCAGCTTTGCTCAGGTATAATGTTTTGTATTTTATAAGTTCTTGCTTACGGGAAGATGTACGTCGAATGGGGTAAATGGGGTTGATAGGATTGGAGGAGTATATGTGAAATGAAATGAATTGGGGACTCGTAAGATCAAAACTCGACGTGTTTTGTGAAAATTGATAGTGTTTTCTGAAAATTGCAACTTTCATGATACTACAGTAATTAATAGAAGGAAGAGTCATTCTTATCATTTCACTTGACAATCTCCTACGAATTGCACATTTTCATAGATTCAGTTTTCTGCAGAAGATTTTCGTTGTCAACCCCTGTTTTGTGGTTAATTCACTAGTTTTCTTTGTATTGAGAAGTTGCCCTGCAACTTTTGGTAATCATTGTTATGGTCAGTATATTTGTGACCATGTTGTGTTGACACAGTACATATCATTGTTGTGTATCGTTGTTACTAACTTCACCTTCGTTGTTGGTGGTTGATTCCCATCTAAGAATGCCTGGAAGAAACTCTGGAATATTTCACAGTTGTAGTGCTAAAGATCACTTCTTTGTCGATTGTAAAAAGAAATGTCAGTGCACAAGATGTCAACAAGGATTAGAGAAATGTCTTGTGGTGGAGAAGGAGAATAAGAACAAAGGGAAATTATTCGTTTACCGTAGTAATAACTGCGATTTTTGGGAGTGGGTTGTCAAACAAGACTCCAGCGAACCATCTGGACATAGTAGTGCAAACTTGATTAACCATGTGAAGAACGAAACAGTTGAATACTTGTCCCATACTTTTCAATCTTCAGTTCAAATAAGCGACAAAGAAGACCTCCAAATTTCGGTAGACGTGAGGATTCAGGTAGAAAAAGCTAGCGTGGAAGGCAATGCAAAAGGAAAACGACTAGTTTGATTACTAGATAGTGATGGAATGAGTAACATGAGATAGATTTGTACGTATGTGACTCCTATGGACGTAAAAACATGATGTAATGTTATTTCCTGTTTGTATATTGCGATTGTATTTTGATGTTGTAGCTGGGATTTTGCTGTTTAGGTTCAACATGTTGGCCTTTCATTTTGATATTTCAGAAGTCATTATTGTCTTTTCTAGTCATATGTTTTCATTTGAACATTAGATGCTGGCTTAACAGATATAAGAAGCTATAAACAACAATGAACGCCATTTGCATGATTTTCTGTTATAATGGAAGTTGACCAAATGAATTAAAGAACAATTCAACATTCATCTTGAACAAATTAGCATACATTTTCCATAACTATTAGAGTTCTCTTGTAAAATTCAGCATACATCTAACCCAATGAATTAAAAGAAAAGCTAATAAAAAATGTTCCACAACCACAAGAGTTATGTTGTACAAATTCAGCATACATCTAACCAAGTAAAAAGGCAGAGATCTTTGTTCCAAACAACCAACTAAATTAAAAGAGAAGTTACAACAAGGGAAAACATATGAAAAAGGCAGAGATCTTTATTCCCAGCAACATGACCAATTCTTGCTTGCCATCAACCTTGATGCCTGCATAAATTGAGTTATTAATTTGTGAGTAAAGATGAATATTTGATAGTTCTTGCTAAAACTACAAAATGTGTTGTGTAAGATATATGACAAAAACACATGTAAACAATTGTTTTGAGATATCGTAACACTTCTATAAATGGATACTTCCCTTCAAAACTCGCTACTTTCCTGAAAATATTATCAACTTTCAGTTTAGTTCAACAAGAAAGAGACAATGCCTAAGAAAATAAGTTCAGAATTGTGCTTGATCTACATCCCACTCAAATGCCTCCACCTTCGTCGGGTAAGCTTGGAGAGTAAAACGGCATACTTTGAACTAGATTAAAATACGTTGTCAATGTTAAACAAGGCAATCATGAGAAAATGAATTTACAATTCACATCAAAGACATAACTTCATATCTTGTGAATTATACATAACGTTTGCAGACGATGGAGGTATCAAATTTGCAAATGGTACGTACTGTGAAAGGGAGAACGACATGGGAATCGAATATTGTGAAAGGAAGAATGACATCAGCATGGAATTGGAAAAATATGGAACGGCGTTAGCATGGAGTTGTGCTTGATGAGGCTAGACGTTGAATCCTCCATCAAGCATACTAGTGTTGCTCATTGTCAATCTCTTACAGGTGGCTGACTTCAAACCTGACTGCATGTGCAACAAAGTTACTCTTAATTTTAATTCGAAACAACTGAGCAGCTTGGAATCAAAGAATCAAGCATACTTTCGCTTTATTCGATGCAGCCTCCAATGGGCTTTTTCTTCTGAGCTTCTTTGGCGCTCCCTTTCTTAGAGTCAACATCAGATCCAATATGCTAACACTTGTACTATTTGCTAAATCAGTGCACTGATTGAGGACCTGAACAGTGTTTTGCGCTCGAAATTACTTTTGATGCTCGATTTTGTTGACGTAAGCTCTTTGCATTGACATATTATCCATCTATTATTGCACGTGAACGCATTTCATCATTTGCAGCAAGTTTGCCAGCTACGCAAAACCATTAGACATCTCTTCATATTTCATTTGTACTGGAGTACTAACCAACCCATCGTAGTTTATTGCAACCTTCATGTGTGCTCTACGGACATCTTTTCTCCATCTTCGCCATATGTACTTTTCTGGAATATGCGTGATGTTAATCCATGCCAGCACTATGATCGCATGTCTGCAAAGTATGCCCTGAAACTCGAACAAGTGACAGGTACAATAATTTCACATTTATCTTTCTCATAAGACACGATTTACGACTTTTTCCTCCAATGGCCCTCACACATAATAGTCTACCGTACTTCGTATGTCGTTTCGAAGATATCTTCTGAAGTGGACAGGATGTCACAATACACTTCCTGTGAATTTGGCTTGAACTTATGAAATTTTGAGATGGTGTAAACTGATTGATACTGTAACTCCATTTCAAATTGTGTTGCACAAGGTACTATCTACGAGAATGACTTAAAATCAGCTTGAAATTCTTTTTCAACCTTATTCCTAAGAGCGCGTTCATACTGTTCGACGAACTGCTTCAACGAGGTTTTTGAATGCACGCAGCTGTGAAGAATGCATTTACACTTTCACTTCTTTGTGTAGTTGATATACCCACCTAGAAATTGGTTTTGAAGAAGCAAGGAAACCAACGCCTTTTGTTCTCATACAATCCAGATAACCAATCATTATTATGCAAGTCATACATGTCAATCATTGTATTCCAATCGTCTTTGAATTCCTTAGTAAACTGTGAATCATACACCAAACCATATATAGCCCCAAATTTGGAACCTTTATCCACGCAATAGCCAAATTTCTCTGGAAACTTCTTCAAAATGTGCCACAAACACCATTTATTCTTTGTATTAGGAAAAATAATCTGAATTGCATGCATTGCCCTATCTTGATGGGTAATTATACCTTGTGGAGCATGATAATACATGCATTGAAGCCATGTCCTAAATAATCATATAAAAGTATCCGTGTCTTCGTTGGATACCAAATCACAGTCAAGCAGTGTTGATTGTCCATAATGATTTACTCCGAAAAAAGGGGCGAACGACATGTCTTACTTGTTAGTGAGATAAGTGGCATCAAATGTAACGACATTACCGAACTTCTTGTATGCTTGCCTACACCGATTATCTACCCAAAATACATTTCTGAGTCGCGACTTGTCGTCCAAATCCATACTAAAGTAAAATTCAGGGCTCTATGCTTGCATTTTCGAAAAGTAGATTTGAATTGCTACAGCATCTCCTTCTCCAAGTTTTAAGCGCTTTACTTTCTCTATGTAGTTATGACAGTTTTTTCAATACATGTCATGTTCTCATATCCACATACTTCTACAACTGCAGAGTTGTAACTTTTATGCAATGAGATTCCTACTAAATCATTCACTTGAAGCTTCCATTTCATATGTGCACCCAAGTGTCCGTTGCATCGATATAACCTGGATTTAGAAGGACTTGTTTTATGATTATGGTCGATGTTTACCGCAATAATTCTCCAATTTCCAAAAGTATCAGAGGATGAAGATATCCTGGCCTTACAACCCATTTTAACTGTTGGTTGCAGCTTTGAAGAACCGCTATTATTATTGATTATTCGGCCTTCGCGACTACATGTCAATGTCACATATCTTACAACTTTATCGTACCCTTTTTTTGAATTCCTTTTCTTAATTAGAAAACCCACTGCATAAGCATATTTCTTGTAGAAATCATACATATCTACTTCACTTTTAAACAACATACCCACTTCAGGCACAATTACACCATCTCTGCCTGATGTTATACCTTCCACTACGTTCACGAACTCCAGCAACTTCTCATTATCAGATTGCACTAGAACATCGTCATGCTTGTCTTGCACATGCAAATTCATACTTTATTATGTTGTAAAAAAACAATGATCATGTTTAGTGAACATATACAACAACTATCCATTGTATGGTAGGAAATCAATTTATTTAACATTTACGGGATCAAATGAATTCTGCCAAATTTGGGATAGAATCAATACATAAGAAGAATTTCATGTTCACAAATTACAAGTTCAAAACAACGTTCACAAACTCTTCCTGAGTACTAAGTGCCTTCGAGGTTACAAATTCTCTCAAATCTCTGGGGCACTGATGCTTGTTAAACTACAAACTATGTTATTTATCTAATTAGTACTTTAAGACATCGAAATGATTTTAATGTGGAGTACACAAACACATCCTCAAACCCTCTAAATTCTAACAGTAGATGTAATGGTACTTTTTTTAGTTAAAGAACATATTTAAATGAATAACGCTACATTCAAATTTGTAAAAGTCGAAGATCTTCACTCGTACGATGTGGCTCTCCTTCCACGTTGTCGGAAGCAGCAAAATCGAAAGGAATTTCGTTCAAATATCTTCACTCGACCACAAAAAACAAGCTCCTGTACGTTGTCGGCGACTCAAGTGGAAAAGGAGAAACCCATTTTATGAAAGATATGGAAATGGCTGTGCAAATTAGGTAGAGAAGAACCATTACATAAATTTGGGCTTCGGTGCGACTCTCCTTCCACGTTGTTGGAAGTAGTAAGATTGACGGGAATATCGACCACAAAACCAAGGTCCTGTACGTTATCGGGTTCAATTTGGGGGACACTTTGACTCAGAAAGATATGGAAATGGATGTGTAAATTGGGCCGACAAAGACCACTAGAAAGAAAGATTTGGGCTTCCCTCCAAAAATTTAGCACACGTCATTCATTATTTTAAAAGCATGTATTCTACCCTGTTGGCAAGTCTGTATGAATAGCTTTATTCATCTTGCGTCGGTGAAAATGGCCAATAGCAACTGATTGTCTGGTTTTTATTTATAGAGGAAATTTGGATTTGGAGAGAAAAAGTATATGTTATTGAGAGAAATGATTTGTGGCGGGGAGAGAGAGAGAGAGAGAGAGAGTTGTATATTAAATGTTAAGTATATTATTATATGTTATTATATTGCATTTACTATATCATTTTTGAAATTGTTTTACAAGATTGTTAGTTATGAAATATGATTTTTATAATATAGTAGTTATATACTTTTCCCTATAAAAAACAAAAGCCCAATATTAAGTCCATGTTTGACAAGGATTAAATTTTAGAATTTAGTTTGAATCAAAGTCAACAATTAATTGTAGTAGTATATTTTATTGGACTCGCAACTTTTTAACGACATAATTCATTAATTTTGATCAAAATTTATGAAAAAACTGATTTTAATCCCTTTCGAATAGGGGCTATGGGCATGGATGGGGTGTTGTGGGGCGTGGTTAGGGAAGAAGATGATTAATTTAGTTATTTTTTCCTCTTTTCAGTGTCATTTGCATTTTCCTCATCTTTTCTTCTATATTTTAAAATCTATTTAATTCTAAACAAGGCCGTCATAGTTTTTTTAATACAAAAAATTTACTTTTTAACTGTGAACAATTTTCCATTGCAAGGATATTTTCTCACAAGCTTTACTAGGTTGAGAAGTTAAAATGTCACTTTCAAATGTTGGAGAACTGTATCCACATTGTTGGGGAGTCTAATCATAACTTTTCCTAATTTTTTTTTACGTGAAACTTGATATTATTTGTCCAAAAACAGTATCGTTTCAACAATCTGCCTAGAAAAACATGGAACACGAGAATGGCGCAACAGAAAATTGCCTTAAAATTTAATTAAGTATTGCTTCAAAAAAAATAAAAAAATCAACAAAGAAATGAATTTTTGCCAGTTTTATCAAAGCTTCAACTATAACAACAACAACAACAAAAAAAAAAAAAAAAAAAAAAAAAAAAAAAAAAATGAAAAGTATTGTGATCTTTTCAACCCAAAATTTGACTATTTGTTAGTCGAACTAACACTTTCTATGATATTATGAAACAATCTCACATCGTTTATAATTTGAGGCAAAACCTTGCTTTTAATGTTTGGGAAGCCATTTCCACTAGATCTGAGCATCGAGTAGGTCAAACTTGGTATTTCAATATTCAAAATCACACATTGCATTTCAAAAATTTCATAAATGGAACTTTTTAAGTCCACTTATTATCTAGCAGAGCATAAACACCAAATTATATATCCAAAACAAACCAATAAGAAACCAAGAATAGGTACCAGCAATTGTAAAATATAAAAATTATAAAAATTGAAAATTCGATTCCAGAGCTAGTTATCCATGATCCATGTTCAAGAACCAAAGGCCATCCTAGATTCGGTCGGTATTCGATTTCGGTTCCTAAATTTTGGAATTGAACTAGAGCCTCCCATTCTTGTTCGAAAGATTTGGTTCCTATTAAAATGCACATTCCTAATTTACACATCATCTGAAAGGTTGAGGAGTCCAACATTAATTTTTTCTTAATGTTTGTGACATTCATGACAACTTGGCGAGATATATAGCCCTCATTAATGTGCAAATGGCCTTTAACCTATGGTCTTCAGCAATTTTTGTCCCTAACGTCTTATTTTTGGGATGTCATCAATCGTGTAGATTTTATGTGCTCATATGGTCCTTTTAAATATATTCCACCCATTTGATATTTTAAAACCTCCCTTTTTGAATCAAAGTGGCTAAATAAAAATAAAACAAAAGAAGATAAAGGGGTTGTTTGAAAGCTTTTAAAAAAAATTTTAGGATGAAATATGTAATTGAAAAGTTGATAAAAGTTATAGATCATATAAAATGTGCAATTAAAATTAATTATTGACTTTAACTTTAAATTTTTTAGTTTTTTGAAACAAGCAAGGTGAATTTGAAAATCATGCTGAAAATTGAGTTCTCATGTTCATTTGATTTCTTGGCATCAACTTTAATACCAAAAATATTTTTTCATATGAGGCCCGAACTGTCCAAACATTAAGTTAAACAAGGAGACATTTTGACAAGTTTTCAAATTCAGTAACTTTCTTTATCCATTCACGAAACATTTTCAAATTTGCTTTTTAAGACTTTATTTTTCAGCAGAATTTTATTTAAAATAAACCTTTGAAATTCCATCAACTATAAAATAAAAGTGAAGAAAATTAAACACAAAAAAAATTGTTGAGAATTCAAATGGATATTCAACGAAGAATTAGAAAATTCTTCAATACAATGAATTTATATATGATGTTTGTTCTCTTTTATTGAGAATTGATCATTAACCATTACTAGCTAAAATAGAAACTGGATTCCCTATATTTCTGAAAGTTAATTAGGTTGATATATAAGGTGCCCTCGTCCTCCATGTTGACCATCTAGATATTATTTATATCTAATAGATATGATACATTTACTAGATGATTGTATTTAGTCACAACTTGAAGTTTGCGAAATTACTGCTTAAATTTTAAATAATGAGCATAATTTTCAAATTATACAATCAAGACGATATGTTTTGTTAATATTAATGAGCATAAATATCAACATTTTAATAAGTGTAAGTTGAAATATCAATAAATAATTTAACACTATTGCTTGTTAAATGTCTCCATTCAATTTCTTAATCATTACTATTGAGAACAAAATACTTCCCATTTTTGTTTAGGAATGCTATTTCGCATTATGTCACAATCAAGTTCACCATATTATAATTGACTTATGATCAGAGCCCAATATTTTCCATCTAATAATATCTGAAAGTTTAACATATCTATGGTTACTCAACTACACAGCATTGAGAAGAATATAAATGAAAGCCGAGAATACAAGTTCAGTTTAAACCCTTATAACACATCTTAAGCCACATCAGGTGGTATTTTGTAACGTAATTTGCTGACTATTAATTTGATTGAAATGTTTTCTCAGTATTAGAGGGAGAAATTAGTAGCTGAAAATAATACATAATGCATCATATTGTGCTATCTATATCCTCACACTTGACATTATGAAAGATAACTCATTTGTAAGATGCACTTACTGGCCTATAAGATGCTCCATCACGTAATCAGGTCGAAAAATGAAAAATTATTAACTACACAGCATTGAGAAGAATATAAATGAAAGCCGAGAATACAAGTTCAGTTTAAACCCTTATAACACATCTTAAGCCACATCGGGTGGTATTTTGTAACGTAATTTGCTGACTATTAATTTGATTGAAATGTTTTCTCAATATTAGAGGGAGAAATTAGTAGCTGAAAATAATACATAATGCATCATATTGTGCTATCTATATCCCCACACTTGACATTATGAAAGATAACTCATTTGTAAGATGCACTTACTGGCCTATAAGATGCTCCATCACGTAATCAGGTCGAAAAATGAAAAATTATTGGCATTATATAAATGATAAAATGAGCAAATAAGATAGATTGTCCTAATTAGAAAATGTATATTCTAAGAGAGTATATAAATATAACTAATTATAAAGCTAAAGAAGAGGTTCAAGTACTTAAAACATTTAAAGTGGAAATATCTCAATATTTTATGTCATTATGAAAGAGAAATAGAATCGAAAGGAAAAAGTTGTCGACAACATTTTGCACATGATATACTGTATCATATTATGAACTGAGAGAAATCGAAATAAATTCGTTGAATCATATCGATTGAAGAAATGATTGACTAAATAAAAGAAAACAATTTAGTAAACTTTACTATAGAAATTTGAAATTTTGGAACTGTAGTCCGAAAATCTAAAGATATATACTTATGTGGAAAAGGAAATGAGAAAAATAAAGTCTGCACAACTCTCAATATAATAAATTTCGCAAATTTCATGGTTGATGCAATCAAAAGTCTACATCTTATTATCCCGACGATGCATGAAAGTAAAAATAGAAGTGCATTAAAATTGTCCATGTTCTTTAACATTCTTGTTTCCATTGATCACTTGATTCATCCATTTTTGGGGCCCTGTAATAGTGATAATCAACAACTAGAAAATAAATCTAAGTGTTAAAGATGTGTGAATTGAAGCAATGTGCTATTAGTAAGTTATCACAAATATTCATATCCAATAACTTACATTAAAGTTGCAAAAACTAAACCATGGGGAATTTCATCATTTGGACCCACAGCCACAGGATTTGGAAAACAATAATCATATCATTAATAATGAAAATGATAAATCCTACTAAATGATATGTTAAAATGAAAAATACCTTCCAAGTAATTATGGACAATTTCGTTTATCGTATGATTGGCCACGAAGTCCACATCCATGACAAAATCTCTCTTTATTCACTGCTTTCTCTTTTCATTTTTTATTCTTTTTCCACACCCCTTTGCTCTTACTTGTGGTGGTTCATTGATGCTTATGTGCTCTTCCACGCTTGTTTGTCCGATGAAAACGTTTTCAATACCATTACCATTATTTTTTCACACCCCTTCGCTCTTGGTCTGTGATGATCATTTGGGGTGCAACCTTAGGCATAACATTCAACCAACAATTAAATAACCAAACGAATGATTCTACTGTCTCATCACTTAAAAAAGCACAGCCAAATACTATTGTTTGGCCATGATGATTGACTCCAGTCAATGGAACAAAAATCAACGCATATCTATTTGTGTTCTATGTAGTTTCGAAAATAACTACATTGTCGAAAAAGTTACATGCTTGTCTTGAGTAGGAATTAGCCCAAAAACACATAATCAATCTTTCTTCATTATCTCTATCATAATCAAAGTAAAAACCTAGATTTTTTTTCCTTTTTCTAATATAAAAAATTCAATCAACAACTCAGCATTAATTCCCTTCATTTCTTCTCTCAAATCTCTTTCATAGTTTCTGATATCTCGCTCGGTACATCCAATATTTTTGAGGACTCCCATATCCAATCTCCATCAAACTTATTTGTTGACTAGTCGATACATTTGCTTCAAAGAATTGTTTTGCCAAGGCTTTTTTGGCATTTGAAACATGCCTATGAGATCTTAATAGGGGAACTTTACTAGGTGTTGCGAGTGCATGATTATGAGATTCCACAAATCTACTAACGATCCAATTCGGAGATGATTTTGATTTAGTCATAGTTAATTTAGCCTTACAACTCACCCGAACGATTCCTCGATGTCTTTCACCAGTACATTCAACTACATATTTGAATTATTTTTGATATTTGTCATCTGTCACTCTTTCTTTGTAGCAAACAAATTGTTTCCAAATGTGTTCGTTTGTGCTAGGCCTCTTCTTACTGTTAGACAATTTAGCACTAAATCCAGCTTCTCTTGCATATTTGTTATACAATTCATATGCACCTTTAATTGTTTCAAACTCTTTCCCGACTTTGGGCTTATGTTCCTCGGTAACTTGTGGGGTGAATGTTTGAACTGAAGTCTTGTCTTCCATGGTAAATAAGATTACACATATAACCTACAAAATACAAAATTGATGTATTTTTTAGAACATTTTGATTAACTAAATGCATAAAATAATATAACCAAACGTCAATCCCGCAAATCTGTGAACATCTTAATAATTTATTACAATCACAAGCTACGTGACATTAGTGAACATGGCTGGGAAAAATGTACCAAGAAAAATCACATACAAGTGCAATAAAAGAGAACTTCCTCCCAGAGTTTCTACTACTTTCGTTTTCATGAAGGGACCATGGATAAATGTCATCCAAACTAACTTAGTTATCAAGTTTTCTTATTTCCATCTTGCATTGAATGAAACTTACCGATGGGAAATGAGAAGGAACTTGAATTTGCACTTCAACTGCCAAATTTGTAAAGATAATATGAGAAATGATAATGATTACTTTAATAAACATTCATAATTGAAATTATGAATGATGGACATGCCTGTATCAAAGAAGGATTATACACCAAAATAAATTAAATAACTGTAGAGCAAGATAAACATAGTCTAAAACGCATAAATGAATGAGTCAATTTTCATAGTAATCAACACAAGTTGAACCAATCTAACCAAACATTGTCTACATTCAAACAGTAAGGATGTCTTCGAAATAAATTACAGAAGATAAGAAGAAGAATTGGAGATAACCGTGTATGTAAGAGTATGTATTTAAGTGGGTCTCAAGATGTAACAATTGTTGTTAATTTAAATTTTGTTTTAATTAAGTATTGTCATTAATAGAGTAATTAGAAATATAATTTACTGATTGACGGATAACAATATGTATTGCCTTGTTTTTATTTAATTATTGACAGTAATAGGTTAATTTATAATTTTATTTAATGGACGGATAATTACTTAATTAGTTAGTTTTGCTTCTTCTTTTTTTTATTAATTATTGAAAGTAAAAGATTAATTTATAATTTTATTTAATGGTTGGATAACTACTTAATTAGTTAGTTCTGCCAACTGAGTACGGTGCTCAGGAGTATATATATACTCGTTATAGTCGTAAAAAACATTAATTCCTTTTACTCATTTTTGATATAGTGAATTTCTCCTTTTCAATCAGTGAATTTTTCTTGTCTAGAATTTTCACGTAAATGTGTGAGTTCTTGTTATTATTTTTCTATTGTAGATTTTTTGTTTTAGGTAACAATATATATGTATATGTACATATATATTTATTACATATCTAACCTTAAATAAAAAGGGCAATGAAGGGTCACTATAGATGCAATAGTAACCAAATCCCATTTTACTGTACAAATATGGTGTCATTTTGGTCAAAAGGTGTTGTCCACTTCAACAAAGCCCATCTTTCTCTTTCTTCCCATTTTCTTGCCCTACTATATAAAAAAATTCAATGAAAAGTTTACTGTACATGCAATAGTGATTAAATTCCCTTTCAAAATGATGCCTTTTTTATTTGCTTTCCTATTGTTGCTTTTCTCTTCTTAGACACGCAACCTTCTTCTTTGGTCTTTGTGCTCTCCATTCTTCAAATTTCCATCTGACACACGCAACATTTCTCTTCTTTCTTCGGCCTTTTCCAACTCTTTCTTTCTAGAACTTCTGTCTGTTGTTCAAAATTCTTCAGAAGAACCCAAAAAAATTGTGGAATATTGAGATTGATTCATGCAGAATTAGTATCCTCAAACCTTCATTTTCCTCTTTTTGTACATGGTTATTCTATTTCCTTTAGCCTTATTGGTTTTGTGTTCGAAATTATTCTCTTTGTCCGTGTTCCATGTTTTCTAAAACCTTCCCCAAAAAAGTGGAAAATTTACCTAGAAATTGGTGATCTTCCATATGTATCAACTAATTTTTTTTTTTTTGTGTATAGGGTTCCATTCTATTCTTAAGTTGGTGGAATCGAAGCCAGTAGTGGTGCCACTCCATCGAGTAAGATTTTTGAAATAAATTCGGTTTCTTAGTTGATTCTTGATGGTTTTGGGTACAAATCTTCCTTCTTCATTTTCTAATTGACTCTTCTTTTTGTTGTTAAGATCTATTTTGCCTGAAGTGTTTCCTTTTTTTGGGTTGAAGATTTATTTCTTTTGAATTTTTAGGTTTTTTTTTAGTTGATTGTTTATAATGAGTTGTTTGTAAATTTGTAATAGGTTGTTGGTTGTTGATTTCTGTTTGTTTAGGGTATCAACGCTTAAAACATGTTTATCATGCAACATAATACATGAAGGTGACTACCAAATTGTTATGGGCACACTTCTGGTAACGAAAATGTGTAAAAAATTTAATGTACTAAAACCCATAAAAAAGTATGCACTGGAAAAGAACTTTTACCAAAGAATTCCTATCTTAATAAATCTAATCAGCATAACCAATCATGTCAAATGCTTGCTGAATAGCTATATGAGGAAGATTTCTACTCAATGGTAATCTCCAAGTTAATGAGGTAGGACCAGATAAAGTCCATGTAAATCAAAGTGCCAATGTTCATTTTGTAACGATCAACACTTCTTCTGCATTTATTTATGGACATTTTCAACATCATGGTATTTCTACATAACTCTTTGATTATCAATTTGAAGTTCAATTTTTTTATTGATTCATTGTTTACTTTTGTAATTCCTCTCTTCTATTGCCTTTTAATTTAAATGCTTATTCGTCTGCTTATGTTTGCTGCGTGGATGCTTATTTCTAACTTTTTCCTTTAGTTGGGGAGTATACATTGTTATAACTATATTCTTGATTTTCTGTTCTATATCTTGTTTTGACTTCTGGTTCCTACATTTATTTTGCTTTGAAACATTTCAATAAAAGCGCTGCTACCCATACAGGGGTCTATTTTATAGACCCTTGCTAGACCCTCACACTTGCGGGCCCCAATGTATTTTTTTTAATATGTGGGACCGACCCCTATAATGAGGAGTCAGTAAGACCCCTGTGAAGCTTAGCTCTGTACACAGAGCTTGAATGTTTCAAGAATTATGATATTCGTGTAAATTTTTTGACTTACCTTAGCATAGTGTTCTAAAGTTACCAGCTAAAACCTTTGATGGGATTAATCAGCCAATAGAAGCTTGAAAAATCTTGTATCTATAGTTATTGGTTTTTATTTTTGGACTTCAGCCATTTCCATTTTGTTCACAAGCTTGTATTATACTTATGGACTCTACAATTTTTTTACCTTGGGATATTGTCCTGGTTTTGGAAGGTAATTACTTTTGCGTTTTTGGCAAGAACTCTCTCTTGACTTCTCATTGTCTTCTGTGACTGCACAAGCCAGGAAAAATTTTCCTACATTTTAGTCTCAATGCAGAAAATGAAATGTTGCACACACTTTCATTTTTAGCAGGCATTATGAAGATGGAATTCTTTGTGGCTCACCCAATTTCTACAAGTAGGTTGGCTCATTCCATATTGTGCGTTCTTCCTTTGCTTAATTTTCTAATATTTAAATGTATGATTTTTCATCTTTGGTACTTTATTTTATTCTTTTTTCATGTCACTTATGTTGGAGAATTGGATTTTAATGAGATCACTGTTTCTCTTTGATTTCAATGGTGTTCGGTATTTACAATAGATTTAATTGTTTGTTTTTTCAATGGGTTCATGTGTTGTTGAAGGAGATAAGCACTAAATTATTTAAGAAATTCTCGTCGTCTCGTAGGTAACTATTGTTTTTCTTCACTATTTTTGGGTATAATTACTTTATTTCTTTGTGATATTACAAGAAAAAGTTGTGTATGTTTAGTGGAGGTCCAATTCATTAAATTTGTGAGAAGTTTTTGTAACTTTTTTTTAGTTATGATTTATATTATTTGACATGTATCATAATACACTGAGCTTTAATGATGGTTTAGTTTAGTTTCGTTTCTTTATAATTTTTGTTATTTCTTTATTTAGGGTTTGATCATCAGATATTTAAGAGTTTCCTTTTTCTTTTCTTTTTTTGTAATGGATGGAGTTTGCAATTGATCAGTTGGTGTGATTGTTTGGATGTTTATACTTCACTGGATTTTGTAGTTCTTATTTTTGTGATTTGTGATAATTTTTGTTAGAAAGATTTTTGATGATTTTTAAAATCTTTGTTTGGCATGAGTTCGTTTGGGCAACTTAACATCTTTATTTAATAGTTGATCATAGTGAAATTTGGAACATGTGCCCTATAATGGGAAGGATAAAGAACTGATTTTAACAATTTGAATTACGATTGGATCTTTATGGGCCTAACGAAATTTTTTAAGTTCCATACTAAAATATATATCTATGTTTTTAAATAGAACTATTATGAGACTTTATTTCAGAGCTAGGAACTAGATTGTTGTGTAGAAAGACGAAGAACGAAGAAGATATATAATTTAAATATGCCTATTTGGTTGAATGAGGTGATTCAAGTCAATTAGTGTATATATTGTATCTAGATTGTATGTATTTCTGTTACATAACTTTTTTTTTTTGTAACTTTCAGTTCACATTCAAGTAGTTTTGTTCTTTTTAGATGAACTTTTAGGTTTTGAGAAAGCCTGGAACGAAAAAGCTAGACAACATCCTGACTGGAGTAAAGGATTTAATATGCAAGGTATTATGGGTAAGCAACATTTAACTTTTCGAAGATTGGATATATTGTTTTAAGGGCGGGTCCCTCTGTTAGATTATATAAATCTTAATAAAGTCGGCTTTTTCAAATATACGTCCTACTTTATTTAGTGACAATCATTACTTTTTTCTATCTACATTTACATATTGTTTGTGTAGGCATATTTGCATCTGTCTGCTTTGACGTTCAATAATTTGAACAAAAAAGCATTTGGCGACTCACCTTATAGAAAAGACAAATTGAGGTCAATAGTACTTGTTATATTGTTGTTGCTACACTTGTGTGTAAAATTTTATTTTTCTTTGAGGATGACATAATCCCCATAACAACAATGGTGGCAACTTAATTAAATTTTTTAGATTGAGCAGGTGAATAATTTTACTTCATGAATTATACAGTTCATACCAATGATAATTTCTTTCACGCCAGTTCCTTGAACTTAGAAGTGTACTAAAGATACGAGAATAATTGAATTAGAATGATCTTCATTTTTGTAGATGCATTGGTCTAGCTTTTTCCCTCCGATTTATGCTATTTGTGTATCAGTCTTCATCGCATGTGCTAAATTATTTCTACCTTGTTACAATTCTAATTGTATTAATAGAATTTTTTTTTTGTCTAGAATCCTCTTTTCTGCAAAATAAATTTGTTCGGCCTTCATAAATCTCACAAATTGTTAACTAAAATACTCATTTTACGTAGTACTATATGTTGCTGTATTAATTCCCTGTCTTCCTCTTCCTTTTTCTCTAATCTATTCACAATCTTCTCACGTGTTATCTCTATAGTGGTATAGGCCAAAACATAGAAGCATTCGACGATGTTTTATGTGGGTAAGGAATAGATGGTGGTGGTCTATAGTTTGAAGAGCCTCTTGGGTTATTTGGACGCTAAAGTCGGAGTATCTTCTATCTATTTTCCAAACATAATCTTCAAGTTGAACTCAATCATATGGACGTGTCAACTATACTAGGAAAATAGTTAATGTAACCCCATTCATTTCTTATTCACATATATTTTTTTATCAATCTAGGTGTGATAGAATGCTGTTGTGAGATTGTAAAAGCCGTTAACATGTTGCCAAATTTTTCTTGCATCGTGGGGAAATTGATATAAACGTCTTATCTTTTCTTTGCAATCTTTTGTATATTTTCAGCATCTCTTCTTCTCTACAACTTGGTATTTTCATTTGATTATATAAATTTTAACCAATGTTCTTAAATGTTGACAGCCCTGATTTCTTCAAAAACATTCCAAAAAACTATCATTCATACGCTAATAAAAATATGATAAATACAAAACTCGTACAAAGCACGTGACAGCAACTAGTATTATTATACACACAAGTGGAATGCACATGAAAGTCTGAAGTCCTCTCTCTTGCAACCCTCCACACCGGGAAAGAGAAGGTGGGAACGGTCTGAGAGCTAAATTTACGACATTAAATTACTTGAACCTTCCTAAGGTTTATGAAAATAACATATATATCTCTCCTCATTTGTTTTTGTTGACTCGTTAAGTATCATATTTGTTAAAAAAAATATTGAATATTTTATGTTATTATGAAAAAGAAACTGAATCGAAAGGAAAAAGTTGTCGACAATATTTTGAACATGATATACTTTATCATATCAATTGAAGAAATGATTTACTGAATAAAAGTAAGCAATCTAGTAAACTTTACTATAGAAACTTGAAATTTTGGGAACTGTAGTCCAAAAATCTAAAGATATATACTTATACAAAAAGTAAGTGAGAAAAATAAACTCTGCACGACTCTCAATATAATAAATTTAGCAAAAATCATGGTTGATGCAATTGGAAGTCTACATCTTATTATCCCGACGATGCATGAAATGCGAAATGCAATTATAGTTAACTCAACTATCATAACTATTAACGTTATCCATGAAGGATTTGTTAGGCAATTTTGTTGTCAAACGACCTTCCCGGGCGATGATGTAACCTCGGTTGTTTATTATCAATCGGCCTCGGCCTAATGATTGATTAGTATATCGACACAATTATCGATACAACACAATCCACTTTATTATGGACCGTTCGAAGCAACCTATTTTTATAGTGTTGCTCACGGTTCCCGCACCATCCCTTGGAAGGCTATATTATTATTGTTGAAGCCCACTTAATTGAGTCGAGCCTCGTTTGTTGGTCCACCACTTAACCCTAATTGTAACTTACCTATTTGGACACTTTACTTGGCATATAATCCCTCTCTTGTCTCGGCCTCCATAGAGTGAAATTTTCTTTTCTCTTTGTGAGTCTCTCTCTCTCGGCCTCTCCCTTTCCCCTCACTGTGACCTTAGTGGTTAACCTATTGTGGGCATATAATTGTGTTTCTCCTTTCCCAATTGATAGCAACCGGAGTGGGGGCGGCAAGGGTGGTGCTGGAGTTGTCTCAAGGTGTTGGTGTCGATGTTGTGGTAAACTGAGCCCGGTTTTGCACGTGGTGGCGGTGGAATTCATCCCTACATCTGGTATCAGAGCAGTAGCAGCTTTCCCGGCCTGAAAATAAAAAAAAATCGACGGCAGTCGCGAGTTTGGGTGAAAAAACCGTGGCTGCAACCCTTATTTCCGGCCAATCTAGTCACTTTTCGACGAAATCGATCCCATATTCGGGATCAGCAGGCTAAGGCGCTCCCTCGTGGGTGGCGCATGGCGACGGCGGTGCGTGGCGGCGATTCCGAGCGAACTTCCTTCGGGCAGTTTGCATATTTTAATCCCCTGAACGCATTGACACTGTTTATTTTCTGTTTCAGGTTATACAGAAAAAGTTGGACAATTTTGCCCCCGGTGGATCGACAGTTGAATCTGCATATATCTACTGAATTACTCTAGGCCAAGATTGCGGCCCTAAAGTAGTAGATTCGCATCTCTCTCTATTATAATCCAACAAAAGGTTTCAAAAGCCATTGAAGGCAATTTTTCAACTGATTTTTCACAAGAACAAAGAGAAGAAGCCGATGAGCTTGCTTATATCTCAATTATCTTACACTTGTCTGACGCCGTTTTAAGAAAGGTGGGTAAATTAAAAAACACTAAAGAACTTTGGAAGAAATTAGAAGACTTGTATTTGCTTAAGTCTACACCTAATAAACTTTACCTGCTTGAACGTTTTTTCAGTTTCAAAATGGATCCCTCAAAGGATCTTGATGATAATCTAGACGTGTTTAACAAATTGGTGCAAGACATAGTTAATTGTGATGAGACTGTGTCCGAAACTTATAAAGCTATAATTTTGTTAAATGCAATCCCTGATTCCTATAAGAAAGTTAAGAACGCCATTAAGTATGGTAGAGACACGTTAACACCTGAAATTGTCATAGATTCCCTTAGAAGTAAAGAAATGAAAATTAGGGCTGAAAAACATGATAAAAGGAATGGTGAGGTACATATGATGCGGGGTAGAACTCAATTTAGACAAAATAGTCATGAGGGATATCAAACTAGTGGTGAGTCAAGTGGTAATGGATGGAAAAAGAAGAGCAAAGGTAGGTCTAGATCAAAATCTAGGACTAAGGCGAGAAAATGTTATGGTTGTGGAAACACAGGGCATTTTATAAAAGATTGCCATAAGGAGAAGGGTAAGCTAAAAGTTAAGGAGAGAGATGAGGTAAATGTGTTAGCATCTACTTCTGATATAAATAGTGGTGAGGTCGATATGATTACAAGTCCAGTTGCATACACGTCAAGGGACTTAAGCTACTTAATGAAAAGGGTGCTTTTGGTAATGACTGTGTGTCAGATTTGCCATTTTGTGATCATTGTGTGCTTGGTAAGCATCACAAAACTTCTTTCTCCACGAGTGTTAATAGAGCTAAAGGCATGCTCGAATATGTGCACTCTGATCTTTGGGGTCTTGCCAGTAACCCCACATCGGGTGATAATAGGTATTTCTTGTCTATTATTGATGACTACACTAGGAAGGTGTGGGTCTATCTTTTGAAGGATAAATCTGAGACCTTCGATAGTTTTAATAATTGGAAGAGACAAGTGGAAAACCAAACTGACAAGAAAATCAAATTTTTAAAGACAGATAATGGCCTAGAATTTTGCAATAAAGAATTTGATAGTATGTGTAAAGAAAGCGGCATAACTAGACATAAGACCGTTCTCTACACCCCTCAGCAAAATGGGGTAGCAGAAAGGATGAATAGAATCATACTTGATATAGCAGAAAGGATGAATAGAACCATACTTGATAAAGTACGTTGCATGATGATCAGTTTGGGTGTTCCCAAGTCATTTTGGGGTGAGGCTGTTATGACCGCTTGTTATTTGATTAATCTGACTCCTTCTGTTGCATTGAATGGTGACACTCCGCATGAGAGATGGTCGGGTAAACTGAGTGATTACTCGATACTTAGAACTTTTGGCTGTACAGCTTTTTCTCATCAAAGTGAGGGTAAGCTGGAACCTAAAGCTAGAAAGTGTGTTTTCTTAGGATACCCCGAGGGTGTTAAGGGTTATAGGTTATGGGATAGAAGCCAAAAAGGAGTTAAAATCATCATAAGTAGAGATGTCACGTTTAACGAAAATGAGATGCCGTGTATTAAAGGGAAAACTGAACCTGAGAGTGAAGTAGAATCAGGTGAAGAGAGAGACCAGTTTAAGGTGGAGTTAGGAAAACTCAGTCCACCTGCCCCTACTGTCTCAAATGAGGTGGAGACTCAAACTCAGGAACCCGAAGTGGAGAATAGTAATGAAATAGTGACAGAAGAACACTATGAGGAAGAGAATTCCTTAGCTAACTATAACTTAGTTAGAGATAGAGAGAGGAGACAGTCGAGAGAACCTAGAAGGTTTGGTTCTGAATCTGAATTAGCTTTTGCCCAGGCTAGTTATGAAGAACTAGCTGATAAAGAGCCAAAGACTTTTGAAGAAGCAATAGGCAGTGATCAATCTAATGAATGGCTTAAGGCAATGAAAGAAGAGATGAGTTCTCTAGAAAAGAATCATACTTGGGAGCTAGTACCTAGGCCTAAGAATAAATCAATTGTTGATTGCAAATGGGTTTTTAAGGTTAAGGAAGGAACTAGCAGTTTGGAACCCCTAAGGTTTAAAGTTAGGTTAGTGGCTAAAGGCTACACACAGAAGGAGGGCGTTGATTATAATGAAATTTTCTCACCAATTGTTAAGTTCACCACTATTAGGGTCATGCTCGCATTAGTTGCACAATTTGACTGGGAACTTGAACAACTTGACGTAAAAACTGCTTTCTTACATGATGAGCTTGATGAACAAATTTTCATGAATCAACCTAAAGGTTTTAAAGATAAGTCAAAATCTGATTATGTATGTTTTCTGAGAAGATCCTTGTATGGGTTAAAACAATCTCCTAGACAGTGGTACAAGAGATTTAATTCCTTTGTACTCACTATAGGGTTTCAAAGAAGTAAATTTGATCACTGCCTGTACTTTCACCACAATGAGACTGATGATAATTATCTATTTTTGTTGCTCTATGTGGACGACATGCTTTTGATTGGATCATCCTCTAAGTGGATAAATAACATAAAAACAAAACTAAGTGGTGAATTTGACATGAAAGACCTAGGTAAGGTTAAGAGAATCTTAGGTATTGAAATCGAAAGAGATAGGTCAAATTCTGTTTTATTTTTGCATCAGTCTCCATACATATCCAAAGTATTGAAGAAGTTCAATATGAGTGAATGCAAACCTGTCACGTTGCCCCTTGCTAATCATTTTGTTTTATCTAAGGAACAATCTCCCTGCAATAAGCGTGAAGTTGAATACATGAGTAGAGTACCTTACTCAAATGTAATTGGTTCCATAATGTATTTGATGGTTTGCGCTAGACTTGATTTAGGTTTTGCTGTTAGTACTCTCAGTAAATATATGGCTAATCCGGGACCTGAACATTGGGAAGCGCTAAAGTGGCTGTTAAAGTACTTGAAGGGTACTAGTAACGTAGGCTTAAAATTTAGTGCTAATAAAGAAGGCATAAAATTAAAGGGTTTTGTAGATATTGACTATGCGGGAGATAGGGATGGTAGGAAATCTACTTCATCTTACGTGTTTACCTTATCTAATTCATGTGTAAGTTGGAAATCACAGTTACAACATATTGTTGCACT